TTTCCCAGCTATTCCTTGTGCAAGCAACTGTTCAACGAACAGGCGTGCGTTCTAACCATAGAAATTGCTCGTCTATGCGCACAAAAGTGAAGAACAAAGGAGTCTACTCTGAGAAAAAATCACGGGCAGATAATAAATTACTCGTATCCAAAGTCGTGGTCGATCTGCGAAATTAAGAAATGCACAACTGCCTATATCCTTCGTCTGAGGCAAGTGCTGAAAATTAGGATGTACATTGAGCCAATCTGCCAAAGGAGAGGCATCTTGTGTAGTCGCCACCGCGCTTAATTAACTGCGCTCAGGTTGGTTCTTGAAAGGCTCCTTGCATAACGTTACACACCTATACGGTATTTCTTCAGAGCCCAACCCGGACGCAGATACAGCAGGCGTTTTCAATTGAGTGGTATCAGGCGCCTTGAGTTCTACAAAGCCTTCAAATGGAAGCAAGTGTTGGATTACTATCGAAAAGTGTGCGGCTCCCAGGCGATATTCATCCTCGGTCACCACGACACTGCTGTTCACGACACGCACATACCACTGATGGACCGAGGTCTTTGAGAATTTAGTAGCAAGTGTAGATTGTGACAGTAGTGATAGTTGTTACTAAGCCACACAACTAGCACAAGCTGGTCTGGCAGCCGAGGGTATGGATGAACTCTTCGCCGACTTCGACCCAACTAAATATCCTCCTTTAATCCCACTATGGAGTGGGCTGTCAGATTCTCGATTGACGTGCAGCAATCGACAAGTGTGGATTTGCATCTACCGCAACTATGAACTGCATAGCAGCTCGACCACCTTATCCATCAACAGCCTCCTTAAGCTTCAATACTAAGACCATCACCTGTGATTTATGCTTAGAGGATGCTCTTTTGCTCTTTCCTTTTCTGCGCATATACGATTGTTTTCCAGGTTGGAATATACGCCTATTTGTTAAAAAGGTGCTTTTGGTCTTTTGCCTACAGGGAGGGTATGGAGTGACTCAAAACGGATTTTGTAGTAGCCCTATACACCTAGGATTGCATTTGTCTTCAGTTCTCCCCCTGAGTCAGGTGCAAAAGCAGGCAAGAGTGG